GGGTGTGTGTGGGGGGGTGTGTGTGTGTGTGTGTGTGTGTGTGTGTGTGTGTGTGTGTGTGTGTGTGTGTGTGTGTGTGTGTGTGTGTGTGTGTGTGTGTACGCGCGTGTGCGTCCGCGTGTGGGCGTGCGTGTGGGTAGGGATGCGTGCGGTGTGCGTGTAATCATGAAATTAAAATAATATCGTGGGGAGTAATAAGTAAGACTAACAACAGGTGCAGCCCCATGGACGAAAGCAATACATGCCGGCAATGAGGAGAATGCGATAATTATTACAAAGTCAATGGGTGTTACCAATATTTTAACAGCGCACGTCTAGCGCCAATTCCTTTCCGTTGCTTTCCAGAGAGGTCTCTTCATCGCCAAGTTGAATGCAAATGACGTACGTTTCACTGGTGCTGGCTTCTTCTCTCTCACGCGAGGTCTTCTTCTGACTGTAAGTGAGTCTCGCGCTAGATCTCGTATCATCATGAGCATCGCACGATGCATACATGTTTTACCCGATGTCATTATATGTGTCTGATTCTGTCGATGTACACAATTCTCATCATAGCACTTATTCTTACCATTCATATATATACGGGCTTTGCATTTTCTGCGCAGATATATTGCTAATAACTGGCTGTCAGAGATTCTTTGCTAGATCAGATGGCGACACTGTATCACATGCAATAACGTAGCTCACGCGTTAGAGAATTATTGTAAACTGTGAAGCTATGCCGTTCATACCTTTTACTTACAAATATTGAGCCAAGAAATACGTACCTAATATTAGCTTTTTCAGCGCTAGATTTCATGCGATATTATTCTCTTTTAATCGATATTAGTTACACAGCATGCGAGCTCTATTGACCCTGTGTAATGATCAGTTCACACGGGCATCGGCAAACATGCTATAAAATATCAGTGATTCCTCATATAACGTTAGAGACATTGACGACTTATATTTTAGCATAATGCTGTGTATTTTTCTACTTTACAGATAGGGGGCGTGATCATAACTAATCTGGTAGTAATCGTTCAATTTCACATTCAATGACTTTCAAGCAACTGACAAGTACAACGTTTTCCATGAACCATGCAGTCGGCATCTATCGATGACAACCTAAAGATCCAACAATACCCCCGCCTTGCGAAACGGCGCCAATTTACCTAATCTATTACAATATTCACATTATCTGGTTCATATAAATTGCTTTTTAACATCTCCCATAGTTTGCGCGTGACAAAATCATGAGTAAATTCTAAACTGGCAATCAAATTAATTTAGATATCCAAATGAACCCAGGTAAAAAAAAAAACTAAATATACAATCATTGAAACGTGAAATTATATTAACGATAGGGTGCACATAATCTAGGAATCGTTGACGATGATGATGATGATGTTGTTGTTGTTGTTATTTTTGTTGTTGTTGTTGTTGTTGTTATTATTGTTCTTGTTGTTATTGTTGTTGTTGTTGTTGTTGGTGGTGGAGGTGGTGGTGGTGGTCGTCGTCGTCGTCATCGTGGCGGCGGTGGTTGTGGCACTGGCGGCGGCAGTGGTGTGGTGGTGGTGGTGGTGGTGGTGGTGGTGGTAGTAGTTGTGGTGGAATATGATAGTAATAATAATAATAATAATAATAATATAATAATAATAGTAATATTAATACAGTAAACTCTCCAAATTACGAACGCGCTCAAAACCAAATCTCACGTTAGTCCGTACGAATTTTTAAGGTCCCAACTCTATCTAAGACAGGTAAGATTTGCCTCGAATATAGGCCCACCTATAAACCGAACTGCTCAGAAACCCGAACTAAGTGAACGGTCCCAATTAAGTGTAGTCAGCATTTTGAAAGAGTTGACTATAACAAAAACACAACAACAACAACAACAACTATAATAATAACAAAAATAGCAATACAAATAATCTTATTCTCTTTCTCATTCTCATTCTCAATTCTTATTCTCATTCTTATTCTCATTTCTCATGCTCACAACATCCATGCTATGTTCGTTGCCAGTGTCCACGCAGCTAATAATATAAATGATATTATCTATATAATCAAGTAGAAGCGAAACGGAGGACGTCCAATAAAGGCAGAATTAACACATAACGGTTGACGTTACGACAAATATGCACATATTATGTTACACGTATGTGATAAACTCAGGCGATATGCCTCGCTCTACACTTTTAAAACAAATAAACAATCAAATAGTTCAAGCTATATACGTAGAATATAGGATGAAAGTAGACTGATATAATTTGATCGACTGATTATTTATATATAATTATATATACTTAAATAAAATAAAGTCGTCGTCGTCGTCGTCGGCGTGGCGGCGGTGGTTGTGGCACTGGCGGCGGCAGGTAGTGGTGGTGGTAGTAGTAGTTGTGGTGGTATATGATAGTAACAATAATAATAATAATAATTATAATAGTAATATTAATACAGTAAACTCTCCAAATTACGAACGCGCTCAAACCAAATTTCACGTTAGTCGTACGAATTTTTAACGTCCCAACACTATCTAAGACAGGTAAGATTTGCCTCGAATATAGGCCCACCTATAAACCGAACTGCTCAGAAACCCGAACTAAGTGAACGGTCCCAATTAAGTGTGGTCAGCATTTTGAAAGAATAGACTATAACAACAACACAGCAACAACAAACACAACAACAACAACAATAACAACAACTATAATAATAATAAAAACAGCAATAAAAATAATCTTATTCTCTTTCTCATTCTCATTCTCATTCTCATTCTCATTCTTATTCTCATTCTTATTCTCATTCTCATGCTCACTCACAGCCACTGCTATGTTCGTTGCCAGTGTCACGAGACTAATAATATAAAATGATTTATCTATATAATCAATGGAACAACGAGGGGACG